CGTCCTCTTCCGTTTGTTCCTTCAGTCCTCTCGGATTCACAGCTTGTAGTGCTAGCCTGTTCGGTTCCGGCCGTCCTGTCACGTTCAGCTTCTTCAGTCCTCTTCGGTTGGGTCCAGCCCTCCTCTCTTGTCCGACCGACCGCTCGGCACTCTCTATCGACCTGGGCTATAGCACTTGGACTCCGACCGCTCGGTAACTCTCGATCGGCCTGGGGTATAACGATCGGCCTCGGACCGTGTCACCTCACCGCTCGCTCATCCCCAAGACGACTTGTCTTCTATGGCCTCGGACCGCTTGGCTACTCCCGATCGGCATGGGCTATAGCACTTGTCCTCGGACCGCTCGGTCTGGTCTACCGTAATTGGCCTCGTACCGCCCGGTAACCCCTCCTCGCGTTCGTCCCCCAGATGACTCGTCTTCTATCTCGCTCCCTTTCCTTACCTTTTCGCCTCCCTATACATACTCTTCCCCCGTCCCCATCTGTTTCGATGCCGCCAAACGCTCAACAATGGTTCCAAACCTTATCACCAGGGCTTCCTTCAAGCCATCCCAGGAATGATTCTTGGCTTTCTCCTTCCATGCTCTGAACCAGTAGCCAGCGCTCCCCTACATACTGATATCGGCTAGGCGCACCTTTACCTCCTCCAATACCCTTCGTAACTCGAACAATTTCTCTGCGCGATTGATCCAGTTCAGCGGATCAATCCCCTCGAAGACGGGTAGCGCCACCCGTTTCCGCCAGCTGTTTTGCCTCTCAGTATGTTTGTCTTCCCTTCCTCCTTCGTCTTTCCGCCTCACCCTCCGATTCTCGTTGACGGACGCTTGGTCCCCATCTGCGTGTCCATCCTGGTTCCTGTTTCGTCCACCCAGCCTTTGCATGATTTCTTGTAAGTTTTGACGCATCGTGGCTGTTTCTTGCCGTATTTCTTCCATATTTCTTCTTTATTTTGCCATGCTCCTTTCGTCGGTCCTCCTCTCCCAGGTATTGTCTCTTCCTTCCATCACACTCACTTCTCCCTCAATTGGATCTGGCAGCTTCTCGATCCAGCAATTCTCCTGTTGATACGGCAGCGCTCTGCTTCTCGATCTCGCAGCGCTCCCTTGATGATCCGGCAGGTCGGACCAATTTGTTAGGTTCCTGGGTTGGAAACCTAACTATCAACGCTCTCAGTCAACAAAAGAACAAAGAAAGAATGGATTTCTGTATTGAAATTGAGAACAAAGTACACTGATAGTGTTAATGGAGGCCTAATCCCCCTCTTAACCCTAACGGAGGCCTAATCCCCCTCTTCTGGCCAATGTCCAGATTTACAAAATAATCTTCAATAATCCCCCCACAGAATTATCAAAAGGCTTATTTATACTCTATTTCTCCCCCTAACACCCTAACAAACTTTCCAGCTCTTTACTTCTATCCTAAATCAATTACCCATTATACCCTGCCACCCCATATCCTAACACATAGTATTATTGTGTTTTAAAAAGGATATATTGTTCGTAGTAGCTCTAATAGTGGCCTTGCACTGAAAGTATTTAGTGTTCCCATCTCCTTCAGCAAACGATTTTGTTCTTGATTTTTCCCTCCAAAACTCCTCTTGATTAAGTTGTATTGAAATTAATGATAGATTTTTCTCCTGTTGAATAAGATCCTCGTCATAATTTGTTTGCTCAATTTTGGTTGGAATCTGCTGGAGCTTTGTGGATGCTTCTTCAATTTTCTTGTGTACATTGTCAAAAACATTCCTTTTCCAAATTTTAATTCTAGTCTTAACTTCCTTGAGCTTTCGATGAGAATGGACATACGAAAACCAGTGCATATTATATTCCAGGCTTCTTCAATCACTCTTCTGCAATCAGGATGTTGTATTCACATAGAAAGGAACTTAAAGGATGACAAATGAAAACCTTCCATACTGAGAGTCTTAAATAAGATATCATGATGATCAGAACTTGTTAGGATAAGCAGACAACGTGCAAAAAGTTTTAAATAAGATAGGATGATGATCGGAACTTGTTAGGATAAGCAGACGTGTAACCTCTGCATGCATATATCAATATTATTTGCCGCCCTTGCTCCTATGATAATACATTTAGGCCATGTACTCAAGCCATGTGCATCAACGCATAATTTGTCACGAGTGATCCATGTATGGGGTTTCAACAAGCCTTACATCAATTGTTTAGAGCCTATCACAACCTCCTACTTTACCTGAGCTTGGTATGAATTGTGGGATGGAGTTAAAATTCCTATTTTTATCTATAAATTTTAATTCCTTTCAAACCCTGTTGCTTAATTTGACTTTGATTTCCAATTTAAATTTTTACTCTTGATAAACTATATTAAATTCAAGATATCTTTCTCTTTTTAGACAAATTTGAATTTTATTATTATTATTATTATCTTATTCTAGTTAATTTTAGTTTGATTTTAAACATTTTATATATATAATATTAAAAAAGATTAATTATCTTATTGGAATACTTTATTTCTATGATTTATTCTTTTATTTTAAAATTGTTATCTATTTAATTTATCCTGTCTAATAAAAGGGAATATTCAATATTAACAATGTAAACACTTAATCCCATATCTTTAATTTGGCTTTATTTATAAATTTTGCATTAATCAAAAAGTTTCCCTACACTTAATCCCATATCTATTTGTAATTGTTTATCTTAGATATATTATATCTAAGATATATATATTTTATGTTTATTTTATCTTTATTTTTTATCTTTAGTTGGTTTGTTATTATTTTTTATTTGTATTTTGGGTTTAACTTATATTTTTTCTATTATAATATAGTATCTATGTGAATATTTAACACAAGAAATTAATTCCATACCTAGATTTTACTTCTTAACCGGTTAGTTTTACTTGTAGAGATATTATGATGCTGTCAAGCACTTGATCACGTTTTCTGCTTGCGTTCTTATGATACCATATGCATTCTAATTTATTGACAAATAGCAATTGATTAAGAAATTTTAGAAAACCACATTGTAAATGTTTCAGTGCAGTGATTCTTGAAGTATCACATCGGCATCAGTAAGTATTTTCCCTTTTGTTAGTGTGGGTAAGTTTGTTTCTAAATGTACTGGTGACTGTATTCTGTAGATTTTTGTTAGTTGATCTCTTTGTAAACTAACTGGTATTCAGAGAGATAATTTTTTTATCAGCTTTCTGAAAGAAAAACATAATCCATTATTTTCCTAGAATTAATCCCATGTGAACTTAAACTAAGCCTTTTGCTGATGTTGTTATTTGATATATGATATTTTCTGTGATCTCATGTGCATTCTCATCTATCCACACTAAAATGGTATGTCTGTCATTTAATCCATTGTATTTCTTGCATCAGTTAATGCGAGACAAAGACGAGAATATGGAGATTCCAGCAAAGCAGAAGATGGAGAGGCATGAATCCATAGCTCGAGAACACAGTGAAGAGTACCATGCAGCCCTTCAGAGAGCAGTTGCTTTGGATATTCCACAAGCATACTCCCCTTCATCATATGGAACATTTCATGAAACTGATGTTGGAGAGGATTCTGGAAGATCAACTGAAGGTTCCTCCTTGTTTCATAAGAAACGAACACAAAGTTGGAATGAATTTGTTGGACGTTTGTTTGATGTGGATGATTCAGGTCATATGGTGTTCAAAAAGACACCTCCATGAAATATTTATCCCTCATAAGCTTAATAAAGCACTATTTGTTTCTTCTTTGGTTCATATCTTGGATTATTTCTTCCTCAATCTCAGCAATATTAGTTTATGCTTTTCCTAAGTTTTGGATTAGTCCATTTGAAATATAAAACCTTCATTATAAATTAATCTTTTTGAAAACCTTTTGTAAATTTTGGATTAACAGCTATGAAGGTTTCACTTTTCATATTACGTTTAGCTTAACAAGAGAGGATTTAAGATTATTCAATAACCGTATCATCATAAAAACATTTTCAATAAGTCTTTCTAAGAAAGAAAATTAATAAGGAAATAATAAATGAATTTTTCATCAGCCAGTTTAGAAATAAAAAATAAAATTTTAGAGAAGTTATTAGATTTTTTTTTAAAAAAATTAGTTCATATATAAACCAGTTATAATTTATAAAAAAGATTGTTTTATTTCTTTTTCTTTTTTGAAAGTGTTTATGAAAGAAAAAAAACTATCTAATTGAATTCTAACTTTATTCCAAAGATGAAGAGAGTGAATCAAAACAATTATCATGGCACACTCTAATTAAATATATTAAAAACTATGAGTTACACTCCTTAACTAAGATATATGATTTTGTTGTTTTTTATGGTTTATAAGAAATATTAATCAATAACAAAGTGTGGATTTAGATAAATAATTTAATTAAATACTCATTAAACAAGTATTTTATTAAGTTGTTTACTTAAATCCACCTTAGAGACCAATAATTATAAATTTATTTGATAGTTGATATAGGTAAAAGTGGTGACAAATAGTAAGTTACCAACTACTTCATGATAACTGTCGAAATTTACTTTTATATTGATACATGGTGATGCCCAATATGCTCCAAATATATTAATTAATTCTGCCTGCTAACATGAGGTCAGAACTAATATGCGTTTTTTTAAGGAAAAAAGTGAATGAGACAAATAATAATATTCTTCAATTTATTAGAGTTACTTTTCATTAAACCTTGGCAACCTTTAAATAGATACAAATAGGACTTTGGGCCAAGTACAAATAATAAAAACTAACAATAGAATATCAACTAACTTAAAATAAAATCTACTTAATCTATATCTATCTTATATCAATAAAATAAAATAATACTCTCCTAAATAAAAGGAAAATCAAAACTACCTATATCTATTTTATCTTTATCAAAATCAAACCAAATATTACTAAACTCAAAACTAATAAAATAAGATTTTAATGAATCCCTAAAATTTAAGTTTATCCCAACAAACTCCCACATAAACTTAAATTCTTCCTTCCTTCATTAAGCTTTCCATGTGCATCATCCCACTCCGGGTTTGCATCTTCTCTCCAAGATTTTCAGCTCCAGTTCATACAACCGCTTCTTCTTTGCTTTTACCTGGGTTATTAGACGACCATGCTTATCCTTTAAATACAATACCTGGTCCTTCATAAAAACTGAATTACCTTTTTCAATTATCTGACCCATGCTTAAAATATTGTTCTTCAGCTCCGAAATATAGTAAACATTCCTAATCTCTCCAACTCGTCCATTCTTATGCATATGTCGGATTGTTCCATGCCCTTTCACGGTCACCTTGGAGTCATCTTCGAAAGACATAAATTTGACCTCCACCTTAGTGAGTTTATCAAAAAAGTTCTCGTTTCCACACATATGATTATTTGTCCCAGTATCTAGATACCATACCGAGTTGGTAGAAATCTCATCAGCCTTCATCTCTTCTTCATCTTCTTCTTCCTTATTTTTATCTGGTTCATGAATGTTATGTGCTTCCTCTTCCTTTTCAAGAGTCGCCTTCTTCAGCTCCTCAAGCTCAACCCTCTGTTCATCTAGAAGCCTCCCTTCCGCTGAATCTCTTCATCTTTTTGTTTGAGTTCTTTCTGCAGATTTTCCTTCTCCACAATTGTTGCATCCTTTACCGAGATCACTTCATCCATTGTTGGGATCGGGCTCTCCATGTCCATTGCATCCGAGCTTTTTACCAACAATAATTCTTCTGCATCTTTAGTAAGGAGATTTGTTTCCCCCTTTGTCTCGGTCTTGCAATACTTTGCAATATGACCTACCTTAACACAATTGTAGCACTTGCTTGATCTACACTCATTTGCATAGTGGTCATACTTGCCACACTTAAAACATTCAATTCCTGACCTATCTCCTCGGCCTTTCCCTTGTCCTCGGTCATGCCAATTCTGCTGACCGGTTTGCTCTTCATCATCATTCTCAAAATTACCTCGGCCACGTCCACCTCGTCCTCGGCCTCCTCGCCATCTACCGCTAGGACCTCGGCTCTGAGCAATCCGAGATTTATTCGAGTCAAACTGTACCTGTAGTAATTGATCGTTGGGTTCCCTCTTTTTCTTTTTCTTCCTCAATTCGTGGGCTTTTAATGACCCAGCTAACTCCTCCACAGTGAGAGTTGAAAATCCTTTGTCTGTTCAATAGTGACCATGACACTTTCAAAATCATCTCTTAAATTTCTCAAGATCTTTTCCGCAACCCGGTTAGGAGGAACCTCTCCTCCGTTCATTTCGAGTTGGATGGCCATCTTCTGCACTCGAGTTATAAACTCGGCAACTCCCTCATTTTCATCCATCTCCATATGTTCATACTCTCTTCTGAGAGCTTGTACTCGGACCTGCATCACGCGGGTATCTCCTTTGTATGCCACCTTCAGAATTTCCCATGATTCTTTTGTTGACTTTGCATTAGCTATTTTCTCGAATCCAGATTCATCAACTGCATTATACAAAAAGTACAAAGCCGATTTGTCTTTCACTCATGTCTTTTTCAATGCACCAATCTGGTTCACTGTCTGATGCTCATCATTTGCGGGTTCATTGTACCCATCCTCCACTATGTCCCATACATCTTGGGATCCAAGAAGAATCTTCATCTCCAAAGACCAATAGTCGTAATTGGTATTTTCGGACAATTGTGGCACACTCATCCCATTGACTACCTTTGACATCTCTCTCACAAAAAAATCAAGTACTCACTTTTTCTCTCACGGTGTTTGACTCTCTCCTCTCTCTATTTTTCTCTCTCTCGGTACTGAGAGCATAAAGCTATGATACCACTGTTGGGAAAAACGCGACCCACTCAAATAATAATACTCTTCAATTCACTAGGGTTACTTTTCATTGAACCTTGACAACCTTTAAATAGGTGCAAATAGGGCCTTGGGCCAAGTACAAACAATAAAAACTAACAATAGAATATCAACTAACTTAAAATAAAATCTACTTAATCTATTTCTATCTTATATCAATAAAATAAAATAATACTCTCCTA